TTAAATGTGTTCCTAACAATGTGTATTATGTGTAAAGTGTGCTGCTTTTTACTCATGATCTCTTAATCTCTCATCCCTGCAAAACATTGAGAGCATTCCTTTTGTTCAGAGCTCTGTGTTGAATGTCATCACAGAGCTCTGGGCTGTGATTGTACACAGCCAATCAGCAGGTCCTGGCCAAGAATCATTGACTTGGACTTGCTGCCAGGTTCCCACTATGTGCAATCACAATGGCTACTGGCCAGGGGGCTGGTGTATATTTTAGCTATTAACATTGGGTTATGTTTTTATTTATAATTATGATGCTTTCTTTTCTATACTCTATAGTACTTTTAATTATTTAAAATGTTTCTGTAAGGCACAAGGAGAAAAAAAATGTAAATTTTGCAAATACATGAGCTGTATTCTATTGTATTGTATATATGGGCAATATTTGTATTGGAACAATACATTTATTAAATAAGCTGAATTAGAAATTTGATGTAACTCAACTTTCTTTTGTATTTTTCAAAGTTCTTTATTGCTGCTGTAGAGTTTTAAAAAAGCATTCTTGTCATGTATGAATATTTGCACAAAACAGGCTACATTTGACCAATTGTCAACATGTAGAAATCTCATTCAAATTAAAGAGACAGGCAAATTTACTATGCTCAACACAGCTAATATGTTATAACTTGATTTTGAAGCAAGCTTTGGATCTTACTGGAGAGCAAAATGAATTCCAGAGCTAAGCCTGTTGACTCTCATCAGTTTCTATTTGGATTTAATCTGACTCTGAGTCTCACTGTAACTTTATACCTGCTGCTCTGAAGTCTCTCCTCCGCACTGCTCCCACTCTGTAAACATAACTGCTGTGTTATTCCTGCAGCTCCTGCAATCAGTCAGCCCCTTCATTTTTTTAGTCATCCTGTCTCTTTATATTGGTAGAATAAAATTTATTGCAGAGCCTCAGGCTTATGATTCCTCTCCAGTAAAATACCACAACAAATGTTCAGGAAGAATCAGATAGCAAATTACATTCTGACTCTGGTAAAAAAGAAAATGTAAACTGTTGATATATATATATATATATATATATATATATACATATATATATATATATATATCCATACACACACTATATTGCCAAAATTATTGGGACACCCCTCCAAATCATTGGATTCAGGTGTTTCGATCACCTCCATGGCCACAGGTGTATAAAATCATGCAGACTGCTTCTACAAACATTTGTGAAAGAATTAGGCTGGCCATACACTATACAATTTTCTGTCCAATTTCCTTTAGATTTACCTTCAACTATGTAGTGCAAGAGCCTGCCTAATTGGATACAATTGAAAGTGTTGTTAGGTTTGACCTCCTATTATATGGTTTTTGGTAAATCTAAACCAAAAAGCTCAAGAAAATTGTATAATGTATGGCCAGCCTTATGCAGGCCATAGACGGGGAGAAAACCGGCCATTTTTTTAACAAAAAAAGAAAAAATCGGTCGTTCAATAGGCCGACATTACCACCAACAGTAAAAAAAACAAAAAAAAAATCAGCCGATTTTCTTCCTGTCTACGGCCGGCATTTAACCGTTTCAATACCGTGCAATTTTACACCTTCCTGCCCAGGCCATTTTTCAGGTTTCAGTGCTCTCACACTTTGAATGACAATTGCGCGGTCATACAACATTGTACCCAAACTAAAATTTTATCATTTTCTTCACACAACTAGAGCTTTCTTTTGGTGGTATTTAATCACCGCTGGGGTTTTTATTTTTTGCTAAATTAACAAAAAAAGACCAAAAATTTTGAAAAAAAAAACACATTTTTCTTTGTTTCTGTTATAAAAGTTTACAAATAAATAATTGTTCTTCATAAATTTAGGCCGAGATGTATTCTGCTACATGTCTTTGGTGAAAATAACCCAAATTAGGATGTATTTTTTAGTTTGTAGGAAAGTTATAGAGTTCACAAACTATGGTATAGATCTGATTATTGATCAATCCTGAAGTACTGACAGCCAATCTAATTTCTTCAGGTCCAAGAATGTCAGAATAGTACAGATATCCCCAAATGACCCCTTTTTGCAGAGTAGACAGTCCGACGTACTTCATAAGAGGCATGGCGAGTTTTTTGAAGTTGTATTTTTTTTTGTCATAATTTTTCGGAAAATGAAAAAATTAAAAAAATTATTTAAACTATTTTTTTTTTTACATACTGTCACCAGTGCAGTACAGCGTCATCATATAACTGGCATGGCGGTGAACAGGGACACTGACTGGTGACAGTATGAAAAAAATATATATATATTTTTGTTTTAATTTTTTTTTTTTTTTTATTATATTTAATTTTTTATTACATTTTTTTTAATTTTTTTTAAGATTTTTTTTTCATATTTTACTATGACCAAAGTAATACAATGTTACCATAGTAACATTGTACTACTTTGGGGAAGTGATCAGTATTTTATTTTTTATTTTTTTTTATACAATTTGCTTATAGCAAAGAATTACTTTGCTATAAGCAAGCATTTACCTGAATGAAATCGATTCATTCAGCTTTTTTTTTTTTTTTTTTTTTTTGTGCTTAGCTGTGATTTGGTCACAGCTAATCACATGACATGTGCATGTGATTAGCTGTGACCATTCACAGCTAGGCACTAGTATACAATGGATGGCATCATGAATGAAGCCATCCATTGTATACAACTGTCATGTGACCTGCTGTGATTGGTCACAGCAGGTCACATGGTACCAGCAACGGGAGCCAGTACTCGGATCTGTCATCGGCCGTGTCCGAGGTGCACGGCCGGTGACAGATCGTACTGCTGCGCCGCTCTGCATTAGCGCAAACGGCGCATGTGCGGGAGCACGCCAAATGGCGTGCACCCGGAATGCAGGGACACAATTGAAGCCGCCAAACGGCCATTGGCCGGGCGGCTAATGGTTAATTACTTCTGTCCCTGCAGAGAGCCCTGCTATTATATTTGACATTAAAAAGTATTGCGGTTGCAACATTGAATCTATTTGTATCCACCACAATACTTTTTCATGTCAAATATAATAGCGGACTGGAATTCTTCTTCTTTCTCTTCTTTCTCTTTTTCTTCTTCCTCTTCTTCCTCTTCTTCTTCTTCCTCTTCTTCTTCTTTTTCTTGCAGGTCACGGCTCATGCACAGATTTTTTTATCAGTAAAAAGATTGGCCGATTTGCCCATCATTGCCGCGAAAATCGGCCAATCGGCAAAATCGGACGATTTTTTTTCAACTTTACCAATCAAAAAAATCTGACAAAATCCAGAAAAATGTCTGACCAATTAACCCATTAACGGTGCGAAAATCAGCCGATTTTTTTTTTTTCGGTCGAAAAATCGGCCGATTTTCGACCCATCTATGGCCTGCATTAGTCTCTCTCAGGAGCTCAGTGAATTCAAGTGTGGTACTGTGATAGGTTGCCACCTGTGCAATAAGTCCATCCATGAAATTTCCTTGCAAAGGGTCAACTCAATACTGAACCCTACGGACTAAGACTGGGATTCCATTAAAGTTCATATACGTGTAAAGGCAGGCGTCCCAATACTTTGAGCAATATAGTGTATATATATATATATATATATATATATATATATATATATCAGACTAAAAGGTACAATTAAAAAATATTTTACAGGTAAATATAAAATGAAACACAGAACTCTTAGAATTTCTTGTTTTCAGACAACAGGTGGTTTTCACATTTTTTAGAATCTTACTAGAAATTGCTGAAAAAGCCCATTTACAATGCTCAATAACTCAAGCTCAAAATACATGTGTCAGAGGTCAGAGAAGCAACTGACCCCCTCCACTTCCTTCCCTGTCTTGATGGTTCCAAACAACGTTTCAATTTCAAGACAGAGCAAGACCTTACCTTAGCTTTTGGTAAATTTCTTAGATAGATTTTTCAGCTTCTGAAATGTAGACAGAGGACAGAGGAGCCAGTAGGACCCTGGAAGTAGATTACCAGCTGATCTCATTAGCACACACATCCTGCACTGACCTCATTAGCACACCCTTCACCCATCAACTATTTTTCACAGCAACACTCCCCATATGCATTTGCCTGGCTACCCCAGCGTCCCTTCAGACGGGATCAGGCTGCATGCAGCCCACAGGACACCCCTGATGTAATGCAAGGGCCTGCGTGATTGGAGATAGAGTGATTGGATAGATGCAGTGCCCTCCTATTATATAGTTTTGGTAAATCTAAAGGAGATTGTACAGAGATTGTTCAATCAGATTCTATATTGTATGGCCACATGTATACACCTAAAACTAACTAGCTGTGCTTTCAGTGTAATTAATTGTTAACTGCACACCAAACAAAGAAACAAGCACACATTTTGCTATATGAAAAAATGGGTGAAAAATGCAGCAAAACGTGCAGTAAAAAAAATATGCAATACGCACCACTTCAAAATGTCTCATGAGCTACTTTGCCACGTGTAGTGATGCCCATTGAAATGAACCAGCTGCCCTTTGTGTATCACTCGGAAAATGAGCCGAAAAACATGCACTCCCTCTACTCTGTGTGTTAATGGGACCTGAAACTGAAAGTGGTGCATTTACACAGAACAAAGAGGATCCATTCACATTTGTTTCCAAACAAATGGCACAGAAAATGTGTGCTTTGCCATGCATTTCAGAAACAAGCTGCAAATGTAAATCGTGTTTGTGTAGTCATTACATGTTAACCACTAGCCTACAGGGCACTTATACCCCCTTCCTGCCCAGGCCAATTTCCAGCTTTCAGCGCTGTCACACTTTGAATGACATTTGCGTGGTCATGCAACATTGTACCCATATGAATTTTTTATCATTTTTTTTAGACAGATAGAGCTTTCTTTTGTTGGTATTTAATCACCTCTGGGATTTTTATTTTTTCTAAAACAAACCAAAAACCACAGAAAATTTTGAAAAAAAAAAACGTTTTTTCTTAGTTTTTGTTATACAATTTTGTAAATAAGTGATTTTTCTCCTTCACTGATGTGCGCTAATGAGGCTGCAGTGATGGCCACTGATAGGTTGCACTGATGGACACTGATAAGTGGCACTGATGGGCACTGATGAGGAGGCACTGGTAGGTTGCACTGATGGGCATTGACAGACATCACTGATGGGCACTGAAAGGCAGCACTGATACATGACACTGATATATGGCACTGATAGTTGGCACTGACTGGCACTGATAGGCGGCACTGACTGGCACTGTTAGGCGGCACTGATAGGCGACACTGACTGGCACTGATAGGTGGCACTGATTGGCAGCACTGATAGGTGGCACTGATTGGCATTGATAGGTGGCACTGACTGGCACTGATGGGTGACACTTAAAGGCAGCTCAGATGGGCACTGATATGTGGCATTGATATGGCACTGATGGGAACTGGCACGTGGCACTGATGAGCACTGGCAGGTGGCACTTCTGGGGCCACACTGATGATCAGTGTACATGTCCCCCCTCCGCTGAAAGCTGATTACCGGCTCTCCTCTCCTGTCGAGCTGTCAGCGTGACAGCTCGAGAGGAGAGAAATGCCAATAACTGGCATTTCCATGTTTACATGTGATCAGCTGTGATTGGACACAGCTGATCACATGACCGAGCTGACATCTTCGGCTCTTTCCGTGATCCGCTGTGTCCGAGGGACACAGCGCTGTGCACTCCCTGAGCCGCGCATGCGCAGTGAGAATGGTAGGACATCATATGACCTCCTATCAGAATGAGAGAACCACCTTGTGCCCGTCATTGTACTATAGGGCGGGCGGAAGGTGGTTAAAGGCACCCCAAGTGTGGCAAACGCACCAAATACTTCAGTAGCGCACCGTGCTCCACTCCAACAAAAGTTCTGGAGCTTTTTTGGGGCAATTTTTGCGTGTATGGCAGACCATTCAAGTGAATGGGCATCCCTATGCGTGACGAGTGAAAACACTCCAAAACACCCAAAACAAATGCATGCGGGAAAGTGCGTCTTCACTACATGGAGATGTGAATGGGGCCTGACAACTGAGTGTCTCCATCCACTCCCTCTTATGTACTTGTATAAAGATGGCCATACAATCTGATTGTACAATCTCTGCACAATTTCCTTTAGAGTTACCAGAACTATGGAATAGGAGGACACACCTGAACAATCATTCCATTTGTATCACATCAGACAGGGCCTTGTACGACATGGCTGATGGGAGGAAGGTGGTATTGTAATGAGGGAGGTGTGGTAAAGACTGGTGAACACACCCTATCACACACTCTTCTGTGATGCAACAAGGAAGTGAAGGCTTCTGGGAGGTGGCCTACAGGAAGTGAATTCTAAGAGACCATCTACAGGAAATTATGCAATCTGAAATACCATTCAAAATCTCACAGAAACTGATAAAAAATTAAATGTCCTGTGGATGAGGTAAGTGAGAGAAAAGCACATTGGGAAGGCTGGTCCAGAAATGGCATTGGAAAATGCTTCTATTTACCATGAAAAGTGAAATTCTGCCTGAAAAGGTGAACTTATCCTATAACCACTTGCTCTCCAGAGGATTTACCCCCCTTAATGACCAGGCCTCTTTTTGCTACTCGGCGCTGCACTAATTCAACTGATAATTGCGCGGTCATGCAATGCTGCACCCAAATGAAATTTATGTCCTTTTTTTCACACAAATAGAGCTTTTTTTTGGTGGTATTTGATCACCTGTGCACTTTTTATTTTTGGCGTTATAAACAGAAAAATTTTGAAGAAAATTTTTTTTTTTTTTTTTTTTAAAAAAACAATATTTTCTAATTTCGGTCATAAAAAATATCCAAAAAAACAAAAATTTCGTCATACATTTAGGCCAAAATGTATTCTGCTACATGTTTTTTTTTACAAATCCCAGTAAGTTTATATTTATTGCTTTGTGTGAAAGTTATAGCATCTACAAACTATGGTATAGATAATGGAATTTACACAGCTTTTACTTTCTGACTGCCCATCACATTTCTTGAGGTGCTAAAATATCAGGATAGTACAAACACCCTTAAATGGCCCCTTTTTGGAAAGTAGACACCCTAAGCCAGTGATGGCGAACCTATGGCACGCGTGCCAGAGCTGGCATGCAGAGCCATCTCAGTGGGCACGCCAGGAAGAAGAGCATGATGAGCGCACATGGACCGGCCATCCAGATCTCGTCCACACTGGATCCCCATCAAACTACATTTCCCACATGTCTCTGGGGCCAGGGTGGGCGTGGACGAGAGGAAACGGCTCCAATGCGGCTCTGGCACCAGGGGTGATGTACCCGGGGATTGGCGCGGAAGAGAGGAAGAGGCTCCCACACTGCTCCGGGGCCAGGGGCAACGTGTTCAGAGTGGATGGGAATGAGCTGCTGGGTTGGAAGCCACACCGACGCTGCCAGAGGTGAGATTAACTGCTTGCAGTGTCGCCTGTCAGTGCCCAGCAGTGTCGCCTGTCAGTGCCCAGCAGTGTCGCCCATCAGTGCTGCCCATCAGTGCCATCCATCAATGATGCCCAGCAGTGCCATCCATCAGTGCCCAGCAGTGCCGCCTGTCAGTGCTGCCCAGCAGTGCCACCTGTCAGTGCTGCCCAGCAGTGCCACATGTCAGTGCCCAGCAGTGTCGCCCATCAGTGCTGCCCATCAGTGCCACCCATCAATGATGCCCAGCAGTGCCATCCATCAGTGCCCAGCAGTGTCACCCATCAGTGCCCAGCAGTGTCGCCTGTCAGTGCTGCCCAGCAGTGCCACCTGTCAGTGCCCAGCAGTGTCGCCCATCAGTGCTGCCCATCAGTGCCACCCATCAATGATGCCCAGCAGTGCCCAGCAGTGTCATCCATCAGTGCCCAGCAGTGTCACCCATCAGGGCCCAGCAGTGTCGCCTGTCAGCGCTGCCCAGCAGTGCCACCTGTCAGTGCTGCCCAGCAGTGCCACCTGTCAGTGCCCAGCAGTGTCGCCCATCAGTGCTGCCCATCAGTGCGTGCGACCCATCAATGATGCCCAGCAGTGCCACCGATCAGTGCCGTCTGTCAGTGCGTCCAGGTAGGCAAGTGGTTAATTGCAGTGTTGGCACTTTGAAATAAAAAAGTTGGTTTGTGTTGCAGTTTTGGGCACTCGGGCTCAAAAAGGTTCGCCATCACTGCCCTAAGCTATCTGCTGAGAGAGCATATTGAGTCTATGTAAGATTTATTTATTTTTTCTACAAGTTTCTGGAAAATGACAAAAACTTTTCTTTTTTTTTTTTACACAAAGTTGTCATTTAAATGATTTATTTCTCACACAAACCATGGGTATATGTGGAATTACACCCCAAAATACATTCTGCTACTTCTACCGAGTATGGTGATACCACATGTGTGAGACTTTTTGGGAGCCTAGCCACATACAGGAGCCTGAAATCCAATGACCACTTTGAAAGCCTAAAGGTGCTAACTTCCTCATTTCACTTCCTCACTACCTATCACAGTTTCGAAGGCCCTGACATGCCAGGATAGCACCAACCCCCCCCCCCCCCCCCCAAATGACCCCTTTCTGAAAAGTAGACACCCCAAGGAATTTAAAATGAGGCATGGTGAGTATTTTGCAGATCTAATTTTTTCTCACAAGGTTTTGAAATATAAAAAGGAATAGAAAAAATATGTTTTTTTTTTTTTTCTTCATTTTCCAAAAACTTGTGGCAACAAATGAGATCTGCAAAATACTTACCATGCTTCTTATCAAATTCCTTGGGGTGTCTGTTTTCCAAAAAGGGGTCATTTGGGGGGGTTAGGTGCTATCCTGGCATTCCAGGGCCTCCGAAACTGTGATAGGTAGTCTGGAAGTGTAATGAGGAAATAAAGTCCTTTAAAAGCCTGAAGGTGCTTATTGGATTTTGGGGTCCTGTACTTGGCTAGACTGCCAAAACGTCTCTCACATGTGGTACCCCCATACTCTGGAGAAGTAGCAGAATGTATTTTGGGGAGTAATTCCACATATACCCATGGCATGTGTGAACAGTAAATCATTTAAGTGACAATTTTGTATAAAAAAAAAAAAAAAAAAAAAAAAAATTTTCCTAAAACTTGTGGTAAAAAAATAAATTCTTCTATTGATTCAACATGCCTCTCAGCAAATAGTTTGGGGTGTCTACTTTCCAAAAAGGGGTCGTTTTTGGGGGTGGGGGCGGTTTAATATGCCCAGCATTAGACGTTTATGCCACACATCACTCACTCTTCTAACCAACTAAAGATCAAGCCTTTTCTGACACTTTTTGTTCACATGGAAAAAATCTGTAATTTTTGCTAGGAAATAAATTTAAACCACCAAACATTATATATTTTTTTTAAAGCAGACAACCTAGTGAATAAAATGGTGGGTACTACAATTTTTTATGGCACATAGTACTCGATTTTTCAAACGCAATTTAAAAAAAAAAATACACTTTTTTTTACTTTTAACCACTTCCAGACCGGACACTATCACACTTTGAATGACAATTGCGCGGTCATGCAACACTGTACCCAAATGAATTTTTTACCATTTTTTTTAGATAGATAAAGCTTTATTTTGGTGGTATTTATTCACCGCTGGGATTTGTATTTTTTTTGCTATGTAAATGAAATGTCCAAAAATTTTTAAAAAAGTGTTTTTTTTTTTATAAAATTTTGCAAATAAATAATATTTCATCATAAATCTTAGCCAAAATTTATTCCGTTATCTTTTTAGTAAAAAAAAAAAAAAAATCCAAATTAGTTTATAAGCAAAAATTATAATTTTTAAACATTTTTTTTACATTTTTATTTTATTTTTTTATATTTTTTATTTATTTTTTTTTACATACTGTCACAATAGCAGTACAGTGTCACCATGGTGACACTGTACTACTTGTGAGGGGTGATAAAGATTTTTTTTTTTTTTTACACTGATTGCTTTTACACCCATATAGGATGTAAAAGCAATCATTTCTCTTTCTCTCTGTGTGCATTCCTGCACTCATTGAGAAATACAGAGTGAGCTGTGATTGGTCACAGCTTGTCACATGGTACAAGGCTTTTGTGAATAGCCTTGTACCATGTGACCTCTGTGATCATTCACAGATTTCACACATAGTAAGCAATGATGTCACAAGTGACATCTTGCTTACTACTTTGCATGTGATCACTGATTGGCCAATCAGTGATCACATGATCGGGACCTCGTACAGAGGTCCCGTCCGACGATCGGTGTTTCACTGTGTCCGGAGGACACAGCGGGCACCGGATCGCGGTGCTGCGCGCTCCCAGGGAGCGCGCACAAGCAGGGTGCGGGGAGGCCGTTTATAGACGGCCACCCGACCCTGCAGTGCCACCGTCCGGCCCGTTTATATACAACGGCCGGTCGGGAAGTGGTTAATGCACAAAAACACAATATATTTGGCCAATTATTTGGTAAGATATTAAAGATGCCGAGTAAATAGATACCAAACATGACATGCTTTAAAATTGTGCATGCCC